TGTCATAGACGAAATTTCAACCTCAAACGTATGGCTGTCTAACGCATTATCACCCTACCAGAGTATAAGAACTCCGGTGCTTGTAAGAGAAACGTAAGACACCCATCCCTTACACTCATAGAACGCTGGTTTCTGAATGAATATCACCTTTACACAGTTTCAGATTTTACTAGTTTGACAAGTCATCAATAATGCAAAACAAACTGTTGTTGCTGTGTCATCGCCATTAAAGACTGGCAGGTCTTACACAGTTTTCACGGCTTCACGGCTATTTAGAAAGTTTGGGAAAGATCTCCTTTCGATTTTAGGACCGGGTTATCAAACCACGCAGACACCATTCTCTGAGTTCATGTGACGGTTTTCGTCAGCAGCTCCTCGTTCTGACTCTGACCACGAGGAACCATCATCCTCTAAGGATATAGTGCAGCCAGCGTTATTGGACGCTATCTAGACGAGATTCCTTATGCGTAACGATGACAGATGTTTCGAGATGCGAATGAGGGCGAACAACGCGAATACGATTGCTTGCAGGGTGATGATCTTTGAATCAGCTTTTGTGTTGGATCTTTCCAGACGCCATGCGGTTTACCGAAACTCGCTGATGCCAGTCCAATTCGTCAGTTCACTTCAGGACGAATGTAGCGATTGTGAGAGATTACAGTTTCAAAGAATTTGAAATGGTCCACTTCAATAATTCCAAAATATCCCGGATTACAGGTCGCGACGAGCCCTCTCTTAATCCTAGTTTTCTAGGCTTTCAACTGTGGCCTTCTTCTTACACAATTTCAGTGAATGTCAGTGAACCAGTAAGCCACATGCGGAATCGCCATCGACGTATTCAAGATCCGTTAGGAGCACAGGTGGATGTCTCGAATTCTGTCGCTGACGAAAGACCATGCCTCGATGCAATTTCGGACGACGCACTTCCGTCTACTCTGTCATGATGTTGAGCAACTAGGAGAGCGTATCGCCTCGAAGAACTCCACCGGCAATGTTGAACGAGTCAAGAAATGATTCCTCAGTTCGGATATCACATTTAGTTCCCTCATTTGTCACGCTGTCTATCACGTTTGCCATTGCATCTGACATACCGTAATGTCGAATATCGCGTCATGTTGTTTGGCGAATCGAAGGTTACCCGAAAGTGCAGATACGTCGTGTGCCAAGGAAGTAGAAGCTTCCGCACTGTTCGACGCTTCGCTTCAGCACAACGACGTTTTACGCGCATACTTCGGAAACTTGACTGGTTAATTCGCAAAAGATCGGAAAATGACTCGCCTGACGACCGTTTTCAGCAGCCGGACAGGAGGATGATTTCTCGATGAAGACGGGGATTATCGCGTGTGCTCCCAGTCTTCAGGTATCATTAACTTTTGCCAGATGCATTCAAAAGCCAGGTGTATCCAGCTGAGGTTTCAAATTTTGCACTTAAGGATTTCCACTCCAATCCAGTCGTGTCCTCAGAGACAGCGAAATTTGGCAGAGTATCGCATCTCAAGATTTTTCGATCGATGTTTGGGCATAGTCAACATCTAGATGGTTTGCAATTTCTTCCCTCATTTGAAGATTCACCTCAGGGTCAGATCAATTCAGAATCTCTGTTAAAACCTCGTCCCATTAGCATCATGTTAGACTTGCTTTATAATATAAAATGAAAAACATAAAGGAACCAAGGCAGTGGCAAGATGTTGGCTAATGAATGATTAGCATATCGTCAATATAGCAATTCAAAACAGGCTTCGGTTACGAAGTCACATTTGCACTGTACTCTTTAAAAATAGTTCATAAAAATTCAATCGGTGTGAAATGCTATAAGTTTATACTCTTGCTTATAAATAAATTGATAAAACTTGAAACAGATTCTCTTCTTTGAAAGATTAGCATGCACAATATCAATCAGATCCAGTTCTGTGAGACAATGGCATGAGTTGCGCTTATTCATTATCCATCAGTAGGTGCACTTAGAAAGACAGCTAGAAGCATTCCTATCGGCTTTTGTAAGTGCGAACGGCTCTGATGTAATACGGATAAAATGTTGACTGTAAACTTTTATTGGTCAACGACACCAAAATTGCCTAAATTGTCATAAATTATTCAAGTTTGTGATGCAGGAATAGAATGAATTTCGCCTACCATTTTCTATCAAATATTTTAATTTTAGAAAATAAGCATTTTTCTGGCAAGCCTATCAATGATGGCAAAACAGCAAACAAAGTATTCAAAATACCAAAACCCATAAAGTCAGCATCAGTGGGAATGACTAATACGAAATATGAACGGAAACGCCGTGCCACAAATAAAGGCAATAACTTCTCGTGAGGTCAAGAGATTTTGTCCAGATCTATCTCCAGAGTTGCTGGTCGCAATTTCGGGAAGGATGTGCACCGTTGCTACAAACAGAAAAGTCCCTGCGCTCATCAGCAGCAGAATTCCCGTTGCGTCGAAATCAGACTTGCTATTGGACGTCTGAAAAATAAAAAACACTGGGCTGCTGAAATAACCACGAATGCAAAAAAGTATAGTTCTGGATTGCCTCTAAATTAATTAACTAGTCATAAACCTATTCAAATTTTCAATTACGTGACCAAAATTAATATTGCTTTACACAACTGAATATCAAAAATTCTGATTCGAACATTAAATACGCGGCAATAGGCTAATATGCAGAATTAAACCGTTTCACACAGAGTTACAGGGTGATTCGTAACTCTTAGAAAAAAATTAATAACCAGTGATAATTGCGAAAGCATAATCTGTTGCACTGGCTTGATAATCAACAACCTGAGATGCATAGAAACATCGCAGGTGCTAAATACCACAAAACCATGACTGAAACAGATCATATCTAGGAGCAAGAATTCAATATTAAAATCTCATACCGGCTGGTGATATTATGTAAAATACCCATTTATATGCGCAATTAAGATTCTTATCATATCAGCATATTTTATCATCTATCGCGTTGACGATTTTAATCCAGCTGGCTTATCAGACAATTTTCTAACTACACTTCCATCCTCCGGCCCAACGCGGCGATATTTTGGCCCGTGAAAGTATTATTAACTGACCATTCTCGGGATGAGGAAATGGCAACAGCTGCGGCGACTGAAGCTCGTAGCTTGCAGCAGAATGGCGGGATTAGGTGAATTATATGATCAGCTATGTTCTCTGAAACCGTTTTAGGAATACGTTCTGAGACTTAAAATATCAATATTATTTAGTTTCATTAAAATTCTAATACTTGTTCAATATGGTGTAATCATTAACCGAAGCTACAATCTCTGTCGCTAGTAAAAAACACACAATCAAACGAATATAACAGTAAAATAATGATTCCGGACTGAAACGACGAATGCACAAGATAAAGAACGAAAAATCAACTTCTCACTTTGAACAGCAGCTCACTGCATTGCCCCTTTGCTTCTAGACGCCTAGGGAGACCATTTAAGCAGGCCACGGCACCACGGCATTTAAGTGCTTGCCGGGCATAGGACGCAAGACCGCGTCCCGAATATGGGTTGAACAAAAGAATGTTCAGACAAAGAACATTGTCATGATCCATAGGAGAAAGAGTGACAAAACGGAACCCTGACGTTCTGGGTAGCTATTGATACTGCCGCTGAATATATCACACTAAAACAAATCATTGCGGGTTGAAACGGCAATGCACGTTTAAAAAAATCAATTTTTCACTTTACACCAGCAGCTCATCGCACTGCACCCTTGCAACTAGACGCGTAGAAGACAATCTAAGCAAACCACGGCTCCAAACGAATGTAGTCGAATTTTAAGTGCTGAATTGACTGATCTCTTCGAACAAGGTTAGATTTACGCTTAGAATTAAATATGTGAAAATTAATTTTATATAACTAATTTCGCTGCAATTTTAAACGTGAACAAAGATGAGGTCTCAGAATTTTCTTGAAAAAGTTTTCGATTTCAGGTTCATTTTTTCAGTAAGTGGGTAAGTGGGGCAGCTAGTGAATGGAGATGCGCCTGCATCGAATCTGATCACCGTATGGTCGTAGTGGAACCGCGTCGTATCGACGTCAGCTGGTTGAAACACATTTGCTGGCTGTTCGATATTGATAGGCTAAACCATTATGAAGAGGCGCGATCGGTGTACCAAAGGAGGTAGAGAGTTATTTTAGTGTCACTCTTATTGCTCAGTCGAAAAGAGGCAATATCGATGAAGCCGAAAAAAAGACTAGAGAAAGCCTCACTTCATCAGAGAAAAACCTAGTCTGGTTCAGGAAAAGGACGGCCAAACCATGATGGGTTAAGGAGAAGATTCAAGACAGTTGAATCCATGTAAATGAATTAGGCATAGGAGCAACTGCAGAGTGTACATCGCCCTCTAACGTAACCCATCGGCGTATCGTTCATGCGGTAGATCAGAGCTACAGGCAAGACATGAATCTTCAACTAGAGGCAGAAAATAATGAGATCGACACGGCAGCCACAAAAGGTGACAAGCAAATAGTGTTCAAAGGAGTTCGACAACTGTCCGGTAAGCAGGGAACTCAGTCCGTCCTGCATCCTCATACAGGAAGATAACGATCTTCTGCTCGTAGGTGAGAAGGAACGCCTTAAACAACTGATTGAAGTTTCTAGTAGCTGCGCAATGGCTGCCCTCCAGATTCCTGATTTTCGACCAGCATTTGTCTGCTAACGCTAGAAGTTAGATCAGATCCACATACAAAACTGGAAATTCAAAATGCCATCCTACTCGTTAAGGTGAAGAAAATCTGTA